TATTTTCCCATTTTGCCACGTAATATTTGGTTTTTCTTTTTTATTTGGTCTAGCGACAGTGCCTTACCATTTATATGTGTTCCATCCTTGTCTAGGGGAGCGCTAAACGTCTCTCCTTTCATACTACACTGCAAAATGTGGAACGCTTCACGATTTTGCGTGTCATCTTTGCGCAGGGGCCATGCTAATATTCTCTGTATCGTTCCAATTTTAGTATATGTACTGCCGAATCAAGTACACCACCACCGCCACCTGGGTCCCGCACGGTGCCATATTCAATGACTTCACCTCAATGTCATTATCCCTCCACTGCCTTTGGATGTCTTCCAGCAGCTCCTCCTTGCTGGTGAGTGGGTCAATATTCCTCACCTGTAGGGTAGCCCCTTTCACAAGAGCGGCCACTTCCGTTTTGTTGCGTAAGGCGGCTCTCAACTTTACTGCCACCTCGTTTACAGCAACCATCCTATCGAATTCGATTAGGATGTGGCCCGCCCTCGTTCTTCTTACCCCAGTGGCTCCTTCTAAGGTACTTCTTGCCGCTATTATTCTTCTATATACCTCTAGCCACTCACAGCCTTCTTCCACTTTGACTAGTATGGCCTCCTTTCTTCTCCTGTCCCTCGGCGCACCCTTCTCGCCAGTCCTCGCCTGCCGGTTAATACCCGGACGCACCCCAGCAATAGCCTGTTCCAGGGGTGCTCTCCTCTCCCTTTTCCTTCTCTCCACCATCGTCCAACCTTCCGAGTCTTGACTGCACTCCTTCTCTATCGCCTTCTTCCTGCCATCTTTACCGCACATCTCTGCGTAGGTAGCCCCTCATTTCTTAGGCCTCTTTACCTCCTCCGCTCTCGCCATTTTGGCCGGCGATACCACCTTCCTCTTCGGGTATCCCCCGTGGCCATCGGCACCTCCTTCAGAACTTACATCCTAATGTCCATTCTTTCCTTATGAACAGGCTCCATCCTCCTCTTTCTCCTTCTTGTCTTCTGCTCGCCGCATTGCTCCGAGGACGATAGAATTTCTTTGATTAGATTTCCTATCTCTCTTATCCCCTCGTCCTTGTCCTTGTCCAATTAAAATTTTCGGACTGGTACATTCAAAATCTGTACCGCCCCTGCAAGGGCTTGCGTGAACCCTCTCAGTTTCGCCCTTGAAATCCTGACGTCATCGTCATCGACGTCACTCGTCTGGATATCGTCGTTAGCGCTACCCCTGCTTTGCTAACCATCGCCGCTTTCCCCTGTTTAGTCCTGGCATTTCTTGCTGTCACTTTCCTGGCCAATTGGTAAGCCAGAGTGGCCGCTCCTCTACCTACCACAGCCGTGCTATGGTCACTATCCCTAATTCCGAAGGAGCCCTCAGATTCTTCGGTCACTTCCATTTCATCCCTACCATCAGTCACGGGTCTTCTTTGTAGTCTTCTGCTAGGTTTAAAGGGGCTGAATTCTTCTCGCCCCCTTTATTCCTCGGTATGACTGAGATTGTCACACTCTCGCTCATTTTCATATCCGAGACAACTCTCACTTTATCTCCAGCCGCTCTTACTGGTCGAGGGGATGCCTGGGGATCAACCTCCTCCCGCCGTTCTTCCAGTAACTCGATAACCGCCGGAAAGCCACTCGAGATCCCGACGGGGCCGGGAAACTCCGAATTTATCCTTTATAGACTTATCCATAGTTATTATTTAAATTCTTAGCCCGTGAGCATAGCCATATGTCGTCATAAATCTTAATCGATAGCCATCCAAATGCAATCCAATCATAACCAAAAAACTAGCCGAATCGTCAACAAAAATCAACCGTATATAATCACATTACATCAATCTGAGCGTCTGTTGTATACTATAATAGACCTGATAATGCGTGCATAACTAACTAACATATATATGTCGGAGATGAAAGGAAAACCGGAGCCTTCCCTTTGCAATTTTGAGGGAGTCACAAATGCTTTACCCTAGATTTTATCATAGCTGTAATTAAGCAATTGTCATTTGTAATTGTTTGATATTTGTGAAAGCGAAAGTAGGTTCGAGGTGACAACTGGTCGCCGAACGGA